CCCTCCCCCCCCCCCCCCAACTCACGAAGAAAAACAACTAGTAATGATTTCCAAAGTATTCATTGGTCGTGAATATCATGCAACTGTCATATCTTATAATTTCCCAATTCAAAATACATTTGCATAATCATTGAAGCAAATGCATACAAGTAAAACAGCACTCTGATATACATCTGATTGTGAAACCTTACTCTGCGTTGAGGGAATAGCTTGCATATCTGTTTAATAACAACAGACTGTTTATGAAGAAGTTCAGAGGTGATTGCCATCTGTACCAAGGGTTTATCAAGTCAAGCAATAAATACCACAGAAAAAAAAATATAAGCATGAGCAGATCATCATATAGACATAGAGAACATGTTAATATGTTATCTCACGTGGCCAAGATTTTGAGTGCAGATTAGATTGGGAAAGAACTTCTCAAGTTGTTCTGCACGCTTTACTTCAAGCTGCAATGCCACACCCAAGTAATATCTTTTCTTTAGAACTACAAAATTTGTAAAATCAAGTATTAATAGTAAGTAACATTGTCAAATATACATCATTATACCAAGCTCATGGCTGATTCAAGCAAACCATCTCTGACTTTTAGATCATTAGACAACTTGTCGATTTTAGCCCTCCCTGTAACAGATCAATAAGAAAGCAATCAACTTGCTATTCAAAATAAACCAGCATCATCAACTCAATCTCAACTATGAAGGATGCATTTGCATGAAATTTATGGCAACAATTTGTTGTAGAATATAATCTCAATATAAATTCGTCTGAAAAAACATAGTGGCAAATATCGTGCATTGGAGGTCCTTTCTTTTACAACTATCTAGAGAAGGAATAAATTGATGACCTTGTCCACATCCTTAACCACCACGTTTACGTTTCATATAACCACAAGTTGCTGAGTTGAAGACAAATGTTGATGTTTATGAAATGTGTGGCGAACTACCCTCATAGGACCCCATTGGTGAGGGGACTTGCAAAAGATGATCATTGAGTTCCTTGACCGTAGGAATAGTGGCATTAGTGAGAGAGTCATTTCAGACAGATTCAATGTGTTGACCATCGAATGGGAGCAAGACCAATTCGGTTCAAGATGCCAGAAATTCCTGAGCATTTTGTTCATCTTATTTCAGCGATTGGATCTCTTGACGGTGACAGGCAAAAAAATGGTCTGTAACTTGACTGCAGCTGATGTGTCTAACTTCCTGACTTGGACACAACTCTGATACCAACTCGATTATCAGGTAGAAAACAGCCTTGGTCCCTCAGATGCCTCTCTTAGTTTTGTGCTTTGAATAAGAAGCAATTTATGTATTCTCAATGAACAATACCTCCACTTGAGGGACTTGGAGTATAAGGTAAAGTGACGAAAGTGGAAAACATATGGATTGGAAAAAAGGAAATAGAAAAGCAAACCAAGTCTAAAGTCTACACTACTTTACTTGTTGTGCAACATATATCAACAATGTGTTGTAGGGGGAGGAAGCTAAATGCCACTCAAGCACCCATGCAGCACATAGAGGACTAGAGGCTACAATAACTCTATGTACTAAAATAAAATATCATTTTGTGAGGAAACTAACCTTCCAAAAGTTTATCTCTGCGGTGCTTGAGCTCCTTCTTTAGTCTTGCCAGCTTCTCATTCTGGAAAACTCGCCAACTTGCTTGATCATCAGCCTTCCCCTGATAATAATGAAGAGTTTGAGTAAAAGTGACAATTCTTAAAAAAGTCCATTAAGTAAAGAAGCATAATTCTAGCTACAAAGACAGTCCACAAATAAGGAACATTACATACTAATGTGGTTAAAAAAACATCTCTTTTTGAAATGTGCAGTTGCAACAGGTCATAAAATTGTAGATATGATTTGCTTACTGTACTTCGTATAACCATTAACCACAATTTCACAGAGAAAAATTGGCACATGGGCAAGTATCCAAGTGCTCTAAATCTAATACGGACTAACAGAGTATAAGAATAACCCATATTTTTTGCATTTTATGTTAGCAGGCTAGTAGCGTACTGCCATTGCATTACATTAATATGCCAGTAATCC